CACTTTTTTCACTCTCTCCCCTTCTCTCTCTCTCTCTCTCTTTTTTTTTAACTTTTTCATGCTTCCTGCAGTCAGTACCGATGTTTATTTACACTTCTTTTTGTTTGTTTGTTTGGGATTGCAGTGCCCCCGGAGGCTTTTTTTTTTTCTCCTATTTTTTTTTTTTCTTTTTGGCCGGCTGTGTGTGTTTTGTGGGCGGGTGGCTGGTGATGGTTGACTTTGAGCCGCTCCGCCACTTCTCCTCCTCCCCCCCTTTTTTCTTTTTTTTTCTCTTTTCTCCACATGTAAAATTTTCGTTGCCGCGATCTAAACACATGTTGACTGCGCTGCCTTTTCATTTTTCATTTTTTTTTTTTTTTTTTTGGGTCGTTGTTTGTTTTTGGGTGTTGTTGTTTTTTTCTGTTTTTTTGTTGTTTTCTCTTCACACCGCCCCTCTTCTCCTCTTTTTTTTTTTTTTTTTTTTTTTTTTCCCCCTCAACGTCGGGAGGGAAAAAAAACAAAAAACAAAAATGGTGATAAAATAATAGTAAAAAAAAGGCGAAACAAAAGAAAAGAAAAGAAGGGAGAAAAGAAGGGAAGGGAAAGAAAAAAAAAAAAAAGAAAAAAAGAAAAGAAAATGTGTTATTTTTTCCTTTTTTTTTTGGTGCATTTTGACTTTTTCTTTTTTTTTTTTTTTTCTTCTTTCACTCTTTCTTTCTTTCTTTCTTTCTTTATCCAACGCTTGTCGATGCATTAGCCACCACCTCTCTTTTTCCATTTTTTTTTTACTCATTTTTCCCGCTTTCCCCTCCTCTTTTTTTTTTCCTTCCCTGCACGCATGTGTGTGGCTTTCTCTCTCTTTCTCTCCTTTTCTCTCTTTCTCTCCTTGTCTGTCTCCGTGGTCCTTGCGCGATTGCGCGGTCTCTCATTTAAAATATACGCCTTTTTGTGTTTCTTTTCTTTTTCTTTTTCTTTTTTTTTTTGCATGGGAACAGGCTTGACGCGCGTCAGCTTTTCTCCTCAGCCCACTCTCCACGTGGAATTGTTCGGCGACGCACGCGCACAGGAGTGCTGCCGGCAAATGGATGGACGGAGAGGGGATTAGTGTCTGCGCAGCAAAAAAAAAAGGGAGGACACTTTTTTAAAGGATGGAGGCCTGCATCCGGCTGCGGTCGGAGCTCATCTGAGTGGCGTACATGAGCAGTCATTGTGAGGTGTCGATTTGGGCGACGACAAGGGCATTTGAGGCAGCGGCAGATGGTTGTGGTGATGGCTGTTGTTGCTGCGCGATTTACGAAATGGATGGTGAGGAGGAAGAGGAGGAGGAGAGGTGCGGAGCATGTCACCTCCAATACGTACATAGCGTGCATCCGCGTACATGTTTCTTTCTTTCTTTTTTTTTCCTCTCGCTATCTGTGTGTGTGTGTTTCTATATTTATTTTTATTCTTATTTATTTCTTCTTTTTGTGCATTTAGTGCGACCACTGCTGCCACATGATTCTTGGGCCATCTTTTTTTTTTTTTTTTTTAATTTTTTTAATTTGTTTTGTTTTATTTCTGTCTTGCAGCTTCTTTTGTCAGTTTTGTGCGGTGTGTTTGTTTAAGCCAACACACAAACACACAGGAGGGGAGGGAACAAAACAAGAAAGAAAGAAAAAGACAAGAAGGGGTATAATACACCACGCAAAAGGGGAAAAGATCAACACAGTGAGTGGGTGAGAAGATTGGGAAAGAGAAGGAAAAAAGAAAAAAAAAACGAATCGAATTACGGAGGCGAGTGGCGATGGAAGAGTCCCATCCCTCCGAGCTGCAGCTACCAGCTCGTGAGGGCGATGAATTTAAGGGTGGTGGTGATGACCGTGGTGGGGAGGGCGATGCCGTGGGGTGCACACAGGAGGCGGGGAGAGCTGATCTGCTGGACTACAAGGTGGACTGGGATGAAGTTGTGGGAGAGGGAAGC